CACTCATTAGCTTCTGAGCTCTGAGTTGCCTCAGTTGTTGATAAATCTGTGAGTTTATTCTTCTGCTTAATCACTCGAAAGCTTTGATTTTTCTTCTATTTTTGGACCTACTGTTTGATTTTCTTTCCTAAATTATAAGACTTTTACGCTCAAATTCCCTGAATACTTTCTGATTCTCCTTTACTCTGAAAATTTCTTCCCTTTCATTTCCTGACTTTACGAAAATATTTCTCTGTTTGGAAGACTTTCGTTTCTTCCTCTTTAATGTTTTAGTGTATATTACGAAATTTCAATAATATCTTCGTAGAATCATCACAAAGTTTGTGTCTTTCTACTAGAACTATCTGTTTCCTTGAATCACTGTTTGGAAAAATCGAATTTTTATTTTAATTTGGTTGCGTCTTGATGTGATTTCAGATAAAGGGTCTCTCACACTATGGCAACTGTGACTGCTTCTCACTTTGTGTCAAGAACCTCACTTGTCAGCAACCATGGAGCTTCGGGCTCTGAAGCTAACGCCAATCTGTTTCAGATCACCTTGAAGTGTCAATCCATGACTCACTGTGGGTTAAGGTCTTTTAACATAGTTGATAGGCTTCAGAGGAGATCTCAAGCTAAAGCTGTTTCTGCTAAATCCTCAAAGGGATCGCAACAGAACGCTTCTAAAGTTAAACATGCTGGTAAGATTGTGTGTGAGAAAGGGATGTCTGTGGTCTTTATTGGAGCTGAGGTTGGTCCATGGAGCAAAACCGGTGGCCTTGGTGATGTCCTCGGCGGTCTGCCTCCGGCTCTAGCTGTAAGTTCATATACATGAGCCAAACATAGGTCCTGATTTGGTGTCTTGAGGTCTTATTTCGTTCTGATGAACCAAATGTTGTGAATTTGTTAGGCTAGAGGCCACCGTGTGATGACGATATGCCCTCGGTATGACCAATACAAAGATGCTTGGGACACTTGTGTCGTGGTTCAGGTAAAAATCTCTTCATTTTTTGCTCTATATGGACCTTGATGAGTAGTAGGCTTCTAAGAATGTTCTTCGGATTATGAATTTAGGGTTGCTTAGTTAAATAATCTGTAATGGTATCTGATGATCATGCAGATCAAAGTTGGGGATACAGTTGAGAATGTCCGTTTCTTTCATTGCTACAAACGAGGAGTTGATCGTGTCTTTGTTGACCATCCAATCTTCCTTGCAAAGGTTTGTTTTTCTTGCTTATCCAGTCACAAGGTTTATTCAGGTGTATTGTACCATGAGCTTATGGGGAATCATAATGCAGGTTATGGGAAAAACAGGATCCAAAATCTATGGCCCTGTTACTGGAGTAGACTACACTGACAACCAACTCCGGTTCAGTTTGTTGTGTCTGGTAACACTCTTTTCCTTCTACTTCTTTAGTTGAACTCCGACGATTGTGTTGAGCTTCTTGTTCCTGAATCTTGGTTTGTTTTCTCTGTCAAAACCAAGCTCCTTGGCTATATGGAAGAGTATTTTTGTGGGATTGTTTATAGTTTTTTTTTTTGTCGTTGGTAGGCTGCTCTTGAGGCACCTCAGGTTCTGAACCTGAACAGCAGCAAGTATTTCTCTGGACCATATGGTGAGAATGGATTCCAAATTCTCATATAAGGTTTTTTGTACTTCTAATTCTGAAAAGTTTCTGATCCAATCTCTCTGATTTTATAGGGGAAGATGTGGTCTTTGTTGCCAACGACTGGCACACTGCTCTCCTTCCGTGTTACCTCAAGTCTATGTATCAATCACGCGGTGTCTACATGAATGCAAAGGTGAGTAACTTGTGTTCCTTCGTAATGTTAATTAGGGTATTGAGTTTAAAGGTACAAACTTTACCAAATCTTGAACTGAAACTCGAGCTTCGATACTTACCTACGAATGTCAGAAGTGTATTTTTCAAGACTAACTCCCTATCAATGGATGATTTGAAGGTTGTCTTCTGCATTCACAACATAGCCTACCAGGGAAGATTTGCCTTTGAAGACTATTCTTTTCTCAATTTGCCCAACAGCTTTAAGAGCTCTTTCGACTTCATGGACGGGTACTCATTTCTATGATATTTTCTCCGAAGAGCAGATTATTACACCTTCTGTCTCATGTTTCAATCCTTAATTTGACCTGTCTTCTTGTTCCATGTTCAGGTATGAAAAGCCGGTAAAAGGACGGAAGATCAACTGGATGAAGGCCGCTATTCTGGAAGCAGATCGTGTCTTAACAGTTAGTCCATACTATGCGCAAGAACTCATCTCTGGAATCGATAGAGGCGTGGAATTGCATAAATACCTTCGTATGAAAACAGTATCTGGAATTATTAATGGAATGGACGTTCAAGAATGGAACCCAGCCACTGACAAGTACATTGATATCAAATACGATATTACCACGGTAAGTTTTCTCCTGAATATCAGTGCAATATGATAGAAGAAAGTTTGGGGAAACCGTCACAGATCAATCCTTTGTGACTCATTTTTGCAGGTTACGGATGCTAAGCCATTGATCAAAGAAGCACTTCAGGCTGCTGTTGGTCTTCCAGTGGACAGGGATGTCCCAGTTATCGGTTTCATTGGGAGACTGGAAGAGCAAAAGGGCTCTGATATTCTAGTGGAAGCTATTTCCAAGTTCATTGGGCTCAATGTTCAGATGGTTATCCTTGTAAGTACATATGGATCATGAGCATTTTCATGAACCGTTTCGGTCACAAACTTATCAATTCTTCTCTGGTATATTTCATAGGGAACCGGTAAGAAGAAGATGGAGGCTCAGATTCTGGAACTGGAAGAGAAATTCCCAGGGAAAGCAGTTGGAGTAGCGAAATTCAACGTGCCATTGGCTCATATGATCACTGCAGGAGCTGACTTCATCATTGTCCCGAGCAGGTTTGAGCCGTGTGGTCTCATTCAGCTGCACGCAATGAGATATGGAACAGTCCCTATTGTGGCATCTACTGGTGGACTTGTGGACACTGTTAAAGATGGTTACACAGGTTTCCACATTGGAAGATTCAACGTGAAGGTAAACACAAACTCACCCTTATTTCTATAACACTGTCTATGCTACATAGCTGATCCAATATCCTCAAAAGGAAAAAGCAAGCATTTTTGCTCCTCGAACAACCTTGGTTCTTGTCTTGTAAATGATTGTTTGCTTTGTTTATATGTGGTTCAGTGTGAAGTTGTGGACCCAGATGATGTGATTGCAACAGCAAAGGCTGTGGCTAGAGCCGTTGGAGTGTACGGAACATCCGCCATGAAAGAGATGGTCAAGAACTGTATGGACCAAGACTTCTCCTGGAAGGTCAGTGATTCAATTCATTCAAAAGTTTTATAACTTTTTAAATTTAAGTTGTGATAAACAATCTTAGTTTGTCAAAACGATTTTGATTTGGTGGATGCAGGGACCTGCGAGATTGTGGGAGAAGGTACTATTGTCACTAGATGTTTCCGGAAATGAAGCTGGAATCGACGACGGTGAAGAGATTGCTCCTCTGGCGAAGGAGAACGTTGCGACGCCTTGAGAAATGTGATTTTGTTGTGTCAAAGTGCTTCAAGGAATGTGTTTGCCGGAGGAAAGTTTAGGAGTAGGGAAGGTCTGAGGAAAACTAATGTTTGTGTGTTTGTGTATATACAAGGGAAATGTTGCAATCTAATGTAATAAATGTTCAATAATTCCATGTTCGTTCATGAGTCATGACCAATATTGTTCAACTAATATAATATCGTTTTATGTTAGAACCAAGCAAAGAAGAAAAATTAAAAAATTACAATAAGCACACAAAATAAACGATAAATCCAGAAAACACCAGTGTTTTGAAAACCGGACCGTACCGGTCGGACAACCGGAAATCGGTTACTTAACCGGGTCCGAGTTGAGTCAAAACCCGGATTTGAGTTAAACCGGTGAACCGGTTCCATGTCAAAACCGGATCCCAAAATTTAAGTCAATATTTTAAGTTTTTTAGTCAAAAAATTTAAACTATAATTTATAATCACTATTAATTTACTTTTAAATTTATTTTCATTTTGTATTTTAAACAAAAACAAATATTTTATATACAAAATAAATTAAAATCTTGTTACAAACATGTTTTAATGATAATTATTACATGATAAATCATATTTAATCCTTTTTATTATAATTTGAAATGGTCTAATATATTATTTTCTTATAATTTTATTTTGGTAAAGAGACGAAGTTATATAAAAAAACAAAATATAGGAATCTCTAAAAAAACAAAATGTAGGAATATTTTTAAAAAAAATTAGTATTCTTTTATTAGTGTTA